AAAAAAAAAAAAAAAAAAGGGAAGATAGAGAAGAAGAAAGAAAGTGAAGGAAAAGGAAGTAGACGGCGAGGGTGACGAAGGTGAAGGTGCCAACAGCCATAGCCGAGGTGAGGGGTTGACCGGGCGTTGACCAGACCGTTGACCAGAGGGTTGACCAAGGGTTGACCAAAGGGTTGACTAGACGTTGACCAAGGTGGTCGACCAAGCGTTGACTCGGGGTTGTCCGCGTTGACTCAGCGTTGACTAAGGCGTTGACCGGAGCTGCTGACCAAGATTTTGACCAAGCTGGAGTTGGCGATATCTCGCTGAGCCCTTAGCCTATCCCCTTACCCTGTGGATGTGCACCTACCCCACGGTACTTGCTGAGTCTGTCTGTGTACTCTTTCTGCATTGAGTCTCTTCTGTCCTAGGTGCTAGGACTCTGTGGATGAAGGATAGGGCCTTGCTTCCAAACCTGCACGGGCTTAGTAGGACCAAAGCTTTACTCTGGCATCTGGAGACGCGGGCATGAGCGGCGAGCGCTCGTTAAACAACTCGTCTAGCCCAATGACCGGTACTGTCCGGCAGGTCTACTGAGTTCAGTGTAAAGGGTCCGAACTCCGGGCTGTAGGCTGAAACGAGGGTCGTCTTTAAGTGTTGAGGCCTAGTTGAACCACTCCCCTACCGGACCTAGTAAGGCTGATGATCTGTGTCTGACGACTCGACTGTCCCGAGGGATACGAACCCCTCCAAGGACCGGTACAGACCGGCGGGCTGCTCGGTGTGGCACAATAGGCCGGAACGACTGAGTTGTGGGTTGAAATCGCCAGGAAGAACTACGCTGATCGCATCGTCCCGACTGCGACGTTAAAGAATTCTTGAGGAGTTTGGGGGATCTCCTTAAATGCCTCCTGATCAGCTGTTAGTTCAGTAGTGACAGCCTTAGAGTAGTTGTGAGCAGTGGATCCTAGAGAGTCAGTCAGTAGGTCAGTGTGTCCGGGTAGGTCTAAGTGGTGAGGAGTGGGACATTGTCGTGCACCTGACGCCACGATGGATGACTATCCGATGTATGGGTTGCTGGTTGGGTTCTCTCTTTGGGGGACCCTCTGGCACCTCCTCTTTCCTCTGGGGTTCTGGCACACCTTCACGTGTAGAGTAGATACCCGGGGTGGTGCCTCCACCAAGCCATACACGAAGGAGGAGGAGGCGAAGATGGCCGCCATTCTGCAGGAGAGGAAGGATAAGGAGGCCAAGAAGAAGGCCTTGAAGGAGGAACAGGCGGCCATATTAAAGAAGATAGAAGAAGAGATGACCAGAGAGAAGGAGAGGATACAGAAAGAAGAGGAAGAAAAGTTGAAAGAGGTGGAAGAGGAGGAAAAAGATGAAACGCCACTGCAGAGGACGAAGGGTCAGTACAGTGGCAGTAGGGATGAGGAGATGGAGAAGCGGATCTCAGAGTGGGTCGCCAACTTATCCCTGGGCGAAGAAGAGGAGGTGGCGATGTATATCTCTAAGGACGATCAGGAAGCCGCTATGAGAGCTTGGGAAGCAGAAAAAGATGTTGTGAAGGGGCAGGCAATGGAAGATGAGAAGAGAATGGAATGGAGGTTGGTAGTGATGAGGGAGAAGAAGAGGAGAGTGGACGCGGTAGCGGAGGCGGCATAAGAATTAGAGGAGGTAAAAAATATAGAAGAGCAACTAGCCGCCCAGACTGAACTCCCAGCCCAAATGCGAGTCATAGCTCGAAATGTTGCCCGCCTGACACGAATTCAGGCGGAGCAATACGACTTCAGTAGGAGCCAGCACATAGCTGTGCGTTCGATACGGTTGGGGTTCCGGGACTTTGCTCGCGAGCTGGTAGGCGCTGTAGGAACCGAGGTAGGCCACCGCCTCGACAAGACTGAGCGGTTTTGTGCTGGCGCCATTGAGGGCGTCAACTCCCAAGGAGGAGGAAGCACGTCCCCCTCGTCGGGAACCGGTCAAGGTCAAATTCCCTGATTCCTACAGTGGAAAAAGGGAAGAGAACTTCGACAACTGGGAAGCCAACGTTAAGACCTATGAGCACTTGCAACAGGTCTCCCCGGATCAGCAGGTTCTAATTGCGATCCACACGCTGAGAGATGAGGCCGTCAGTTTTGCAAGGTCCCTAGTTCGCGTTGCCAACTGTAGCGACGATCCCGTTGCGTATTCCTCGTTCACGTCCCTCACCGAATTCTTGAAGTTGTTGCGCGAGAGATTCGCTGATGTCGCCCGCAGCGTTAAAGCCTCAGATAGGCTGCAGACGATCCACTCTCGTAAGTGGAAAAGTGTCAGGGCCCTTAAGAGTACAATGGATGAGTTAGTGGCTGTCCCTGACCACGGGGTTACGGACACCCAGTTGGTCGGCCTCTTCTATCGGGCTATACCCGAAGCCCTTCGAGGGSATTTCTTCGYAAAGAGYGAAGACCCTGCCACTACGTACGATTCWCTTAGTCRTGAGGTRGTGGCCTTYGAGGCCAAGTCYATGTCAGTYTCCACCTTCTGGCACAARGAYTTRGATARRGGRAAGCAATRGAARGGCCKCACTATTTCWGGGCAGGTAAARACCAAGGAYMGCCTTGTCCTRACCTTAGATRAGGGTAGTGTRGAYGAGATCCYCTWCRAWYAGATYGAGTGGGGGTTAGAGGARGAGGACAGCGGTGYGGGCYAAGGGAGGACYTACGCTGYTGTCGCGGCTGGAGGGAGGCYGCAAGGAGGACGAGGYCAGGKCCAAGGGGGCCGGGCCTCAGGGAGCCGRTTTCAGGGCRATCAGGGGGTTGGCGGTAGAGGAGGAAACCGCCAAGCGGGAGGCAGGGGTCAAGGTCCCCCAGCAAAACCGTCCTAGGAATAGGTCTCCCTATAGGGTAGGAGGATGGCACCCGSGGCTACCACAGGGTAGGCCTTGGGAAACTTTRGGTCTGGACCARACTTTATGGCAACAACGRTTGGACCGGGGCCAGTGCATYTTTTGCGGYGACCCGGGCCAYATCATTAAATAYTGTCCTAAGTATCGCGAG